ACGTAACCCATCTACACTCTTATTATCTGACATAACCCATCTACACTCTTATTATCTGACGTATCCCATCTGACGTAACCCATCTACACTCTTATTATCTGATGTAACCCATCTACACTCTTATTATCTGACGTAACCCATCTACACTCTTATTATCGGACGTAACCCGTCTACACTCTTATTATCTGACGTAACCCATCTACACTCTTATTATCTGACATAACCCATCTACACTCTTATTATCTGACGTATCCCATCTGACGTAACCCATCTACACTCTTATTATCTGACGTAACCCGTCTACACTCTTATTATCTGACATAACCCATCTGCACTCTTATTATCCTGACGTAACCCATCTACACTCTTATTATCTGACGTAACCCATCTACACTCTTATTATCTGACGTAACCCATCTACACTCTTATTATCTGACGTAACCCATCTACATTCTATTTGAGATTATACTCGTATCCTCGTCATTACTATCAGTATCCTATATTGCATCACAGTTGTGTAGTTAAAGATATCATAATAATTGAATAGCATGCAATACATGTTCAGAACAGATCCCAATTTTACGATAATTTACTTGTCTGATTAATCAACAGGTGTTACCTTGGGTTTGTATTGGCTTGATTACCCTTACCCACAATACAACGGTGTGTATAGTACTGGAATGGTTTTCGTAGAAGGGTTATAAAGGTGTTATTTGATCGTTGTGAGACATGTGTAATTTTCATAATAGTGTCGTAATAAATGAATAAATACCCAGGAAATGGGTTTGAACTACAATAAAAATTTCTGCTGTATCTGATAATTGGTAGTACATATATGTTTTAAATGGCGTGTAACCTTTTGTATGGTTGTAAGCACTCACACGTGTTACTAGAGAGTTTCTATAATTTGTATTCTGCATTTCATAAACCCATTCGGCCCAATCGTGGCGCTTACATTAATAAAGTCACGATATGCTAAATGTTAGTTATGCCGACTGGAAACCTATTGTAATAATATAGTTTGAAATAATGGTAAACTCTTACTAAATAATATTAAAATATAGAGAGTTCTCTCATAATTTATAGAGTGTCCAGTAATGTTTGTGTTTGCAACGTCACGTTAGTTGGTGTACTTCAATCTTTCCAATGATTCACTGCTTCAGGTGTACAGTCGACGACATAGTTAGCATGATTAATGTTTTTGTCGTAAAAAAAATTCAGAATTAGACGTGCACGAAATGTTTGTTCCTCAATTCAGTCACACAAGCATTTACAGATCATCGAGAAAAAGCGTGCACTTTGCCAGAGATTGGTTAAAACCAATATGAAACATAAATGTCAATTAGAAAATAAGTCACGTATAACAATACAGTTTGTATAGTAATTGTATAGTAATGAGCCGATGTGCTATACTATACACACTATAATATGGAACGAACATGCTCTCATTGAAAGGCTCAAGCTAGGTCTCTCTCCACGTTGTCGCAATCTACCAATCAGCAGCCTCCATACAGAGTTGTATTTCAATCAGATCGCGTGTCGTGTGCAAAACACACAAAACAGTGTAGGTTTTTATGTTACCCAGTCGAATAATAACTGCCTCATTTTTGTAGGTTATATACAGCAAGTTAAATTCGTAATAGTAATAGTAAAGAATTGAATAATAGTTGACCGCGGCGGAACTCTACTTTAAGCAAAGATAAAATTCTGGCTAACCACAAGTCATTTATGACATCTCTGAAGATACCCACTCCGGAAAACATTAATGACTTACCCAGCTTGTATCCAATCTAAGCTGCATAAAACACCATATAAAGCCAGATTCATACAAGGATCATCCAAGTGTTCTACCAAAATATTGCCTAGAATACTAACATCTGTTGTTTCTATCATCAAAGGGGGTCTTCAAAAATACTGTGGTGTTATATTTTCTAGAATTGTTATTAATCATATGTGGATAATGCAAAATTCCCCAAGAACGAAAAACGTTAATGCAATTAAAACATTTGATACACTATACACTACAATACCATTGAAAAAATATCATTAACCAAGTCTTTTTAAAAAAAAAGAATGGTTCACGTAGATATAAATACATTATATTAGTCTACAAATACACCTATTTTGTTCCCAACGAAACTGGTGCAAAGACATTCTATATGGAGGAAGATATTGTTAGTATGTTTGAATTCAGATTTGTTGAGTTTGGAGGACACATCTTTCAACAAACCATCGACATTTCAATTGGAACTAATTGTAATCCCTTGCTGGTTGATTTATTTCTTTACTCATATGAAGCAGAATTTCTTCAAACATTGGTAAAAGGTAAAAGATAAAAAGCACAAACAAGCCAAATTGTTTAATTTAACGTTCAGGTACATAGAAGATGTACTAGCCATCAACAGTCCTACATAGATGATGTACTAGCCATCAACAGTCCTACATAGATGATGTACTAGCCATCAACAGTCCTACATAGATGATGTACTAGCCATCAGCAGTCCTACATAGATGATGTACTAGCCATCAACAGTCCTACATAGATGATGTACCAGCCATCAACAGTCCTACATAGATGATGTACTAGCCATCAACAGTCCTACATAGATGATGTACTATCCATCAACAGTCCTACATAGATGATGTACTAGCCATCAACAGTCCTACATAGATGATGTACTAGCCATCAACAGTCCTACATAGATGATGTACTAGCCATCAACAGTCCTACATAGATGATGTACTAGCCATCAACAGTCCTACATAGATGATGTACTAGCCATCAACAGTTCTACATAGATGATGTACTAGCCATCAACAGTCCTACATAGATGATGTACTAGCCATCAACAGTCCTACATAGATGATGTACTAGCCATCAACAGTTCTACATAGATGATGTACTAGCCATCAACAGTCCTACATAGATGATGTACTAGCCATCAACAGTCCTACATAAATGATGTACTAGCCATCAACAGTCCTACATAGATGATGTACTAGCCATCAACAGTCCTACATAGATGATGTACTAGCCATCAACAGTCCTACATAGATGATGTACTAGCCATCAACAGTCCTACATAGATGATGTACTAGCCATCAACAGTCCTACTTTCTTGATTATCTGCCTAGGATATATCCACATTTAACTAGAAATAAAAGAAACAACAGAATCAACAACTTCTGCATCATATTTTGACATTTATCTAGAATTTGACTCCAAAGTTCACATCTCTGCTAGACTATATGACAATAGAGATGATTTCGATTTCCCCATCATTCATTTTCCACACATTTCCAGTAACATTCCACGTGCTCCCATCTATGGTGTATACATTTCACAACTTGTTCGCTATGCTAGAGCGTGTAGCACATACACTTAATTTAAGAGGCGTCACAGACTTCTTTATTTCAAGCTATTAGACCAAGGCATATCTAGAGAGCATCGTGCTAGGACATTCAAAAGATTTGTTGGCCGGTATCAGCTTGTGAGAAAATACAATCAAACTGTCAAACTGATGGTCTCTGATGTCATTTGTCCTATATAGGAAGAAAACCACTTCCTGGATAGAACTTAGATTGATATATAC